TTAAGAATTTTTTCATACAATGTTTTGATCATATTTTCCCCTCTCCAGCTTCTCTCATATCTTTCTTACATCCCTACCCACCCAACGTTTTGTATTCTCTCTCAAAAAAAGGAACCAACAAAAATTGAAAATCAAAACAATTACCCCCCCCCCAAAAATCCCCAAACAAAATAAAATGAAACAAAATCCACCAAAAAAATTTACATGTAGCTGGTTTTGTGCTGATCAACTACTCCTATGCCTAGGGATATCCTGGAGTATGGTTGACTGATGGAGGAAGGTCATTAGCTAATAAAGGAACTGCCTTGGCCCATTTTATTGGTTAGAGGATAGGTGGGAGGAGTAGGCAGAACAGGACGCTGGGAGGAAGAGGAAGTGAGGTCAGTCTCGACAGCTGTCCTCTCTGCTGGGCAGACACACGCCATGAAGCTCCGACCCAGGATGGACTAGGCTAGAATCTTCCCGGTAAGACCGGTTATCACAGATTATTAGAGATGGGTTGATCGGGACATGAGAATTAGCCTGTAAGTGCTAGAGCTAAAGGGCCAAGCAGTGATTAAATGAATACAGTTTGTGTGTTGTTATTTCGGGGCATAAGCTAGCCGAGCAGGCGGCCGGGGTGCTGGGAACACAGCCCCGCCACCATTACTACTACAGAATGGCGCCCCACGTTGGGCGCCAAAATGTAGCGGCGTAAACGAATGCAGACAGATTGTAAAAATATATATAGTTTTAATGTAGAAACAGACTTACAGAACCACCGTTCCTGCGGAGACCAGGAAAGCAGAAGAGACAGCTTGGAGCACGCTCACCAAATTTATTGGCAGACCTTAGCCCGAGGCGAACACGCCCCCTAAGGGGCGGGACTTATCCCTACAGTTGACATACACTTCACTGGAAAAAAAATCTGATTTTCCCTCTCACAGAAGCCATCATTTGTAATAGTTTCTTTGCTCAGCGTGGGATCCTGTGCCCATTTCCCTCATTCAATGTTGAGGTTTCATCGGGCTTAAACCCATTAGTTCTGTTGTGACTGGGAGATACTTAGAGTCATTCACCACCTCTGGCTCTTACAATATTTCCATCTCCTTTTCCACACAGATCTCTGAGCCTTGAGGAAATGCATAACAAGTTCTAATAGGTCTTAATAACAAAAGCCTGGAGTCAGATGTAGGGGAAAATGCTGAGAGATCAGAGAGATGCAGTAAAACCACAGCCACCTTCCCTACTCAACTTCCTAGCTGAAAAGAGGCTGAGTCCCTGGTTCCTCCCACCTTATCACTTCCTCTCTCTGCCCAGTTATATCACTTCCTGTCTGTACAGACCTTCACACCTCTATGGTTAGCTAGTAGCTAGCTCTGCCCTCTGATCTTCAGGTAAGCTTTATTTGTAGAAACCACATATCACTGCAGGAAGGGGTTTGATAGAGATCCCCTTTAAGACTGAGTACTCCAAAGTCTCTCACTCTCTGCACATTGTCCACTGTGTGTCTCTGTTAATTCCTATCTTTTGCAAGAAGAAGCTTCTCTGATGAGGACTGAGCAAGACACTGATCTATGGGTATAGCAGTATGTCATTAGCTATAATTTTGTAGCCATGCATTTTTAACAGAAAAATAGTAGTAGATTTTTCCTTAGGCCCATGATCTATCTAAACTAGGTTCTTAGCCACTTTAGCAGTGTTGGGCATGGGTTCTATCTCATGGAATGGGCCTGAAGTACCAACAAAAAATGGCTAATTAGACCTTTAACATTTGTGCCACAATTACACCAGTATGTTTTACAGACAGATCATTGTTTTAGGTTTCAAGATTTGTAGCTAGGTGATATTCATGATTATTGTTCTCATGCTGTAGAGTGTAGAATATCTTCCAGGAACACGAAATGCTGATCAGTATGGGTAAGCTTCTAGTTGGGCGCCAGAATTACTTTGTGTTCAATGACATAAGTCAATGTTGTCTTCACCAAAAGGGCCTGACATCAGGTTGTAGAGAGCAACCAACCTTGGCAATAGCCTGTAATGTTTGAAAGAGGTGCTCCATGGGGCCCCTTTGGCCAATTATTTAACAATATGTAACTCATTCCTAGCACTGGAGATTTTACTTAGTGGCCTAAGTTGGGCATATGTGCAAAGGACTACATCTTTCTGCAGAGATTCTTTCTTATCCATATTCATTGCTACTCTATTCATAATAACCAGAAAATAGAATGGAACCATCCTAGATTTTCGTCAACTGATGAAAGTGTCACATATTTGTACAATGGAATATTTTTCAACTGTTAATAAATATGAAAATTGCAGGCAAATGAATGAAGCTAGAAAAAAAACCAATCTGGGTAAGCTAACCCAGACTCCGAGAAACAGCTCTTATATGTTTTCTCTTATATGCGGATGCTAACTTTTAAGCTTCTTATATATGTGCTATAATCTGAAGAACCATAGAGGATAGGTACTCACTTAATTGCCATTGCTCTGATTAAAAACCATGACCAAAAACAACTTGGAAAGGAAAGTGTTTGTTTGGCTTAAATATCCTGAATCACATACACTGAGGGAAGCCAAGGCAGAACCTCAAACCAGGCAGGAACCTAGAAGCTGATGCAGAAGCAGTGGAGGGGTGCTGCTTATTGGCTTGCTCCTCATAATTTGCTCAGCCTGCTTTCTGATAGAACTCAGGACCACCAGTGCAGGGGGGAAGCTTGTCTGCCTACAGCCCAATCTTAAAGAAACATTTGTTTTTCAGTTGAGGTTCCCTCATCTTAGATGACTTTAGCTTGAGTCAAGTTTACACAGAACTTGCTAGGACAGGTACTAGTAAGGGATAAGTGGACAGAAGAGGACTTCCCAAGGAAGGGGAAATAGAATGTAGTGTTATGAAGAAACAAAGGGGAAACTAGAAGGATTAAATATTGAGGGCAAAGGGATAACAGGGTATAGGAAGAAATATGGGGAGGAATAACTAACACTAAAGGCCTTTTGAAAAGCCACATAGAAACCTACTACTGTAGAAGCTTCCTTAAACATATACATACATGAAAGAAATTTAAATGAAGTCATCATATGGTCTTCATTTTAAAGTTCAAGAGACTTTGTGCTGAAGAAATGACTCAGGGTTAAGGGGACATACTGATCTGGGATGGGAGCTCCGTTCCAGTACCCACATCTGGTGGCTTACAGCAGACTGCCAGGAACTAATGTGCCAGGGAAGCCAAACACCTCTGGCTTTTTTGGACACCTGCACTTATGTGCTTGCTTTCTCTCTCTCTCTCTCTCTCTCTCTCTCTCTCTCTCTCTCTCTCTCTCTCAGTAAATTTTTCAAAGAAAATTTAAAAAGTCCTAGCGATTTGAGAAGCTGTTGGGAAGAATTTATAAAGACGCAGGTAGAGCACCCTGACGCTACTGCTGAAGCAGAGAAGCCTTTTTGGAGAGGTTGGATGTTTCACAGATTTTCTTAACATTCTCTAAGTCTTCGGCAGTTTTCATTTGGAATTACCCAGGCAATGGTTCTCTGCCCCCACTATTAGAGTTCTAGATGACTATAGGAATGGTCAGAATGCCAGTTCCAGTTTCTGTTGCTAAGCAAACTTTGCACAGTGTGTTATCAGCTTTGTGAGGAACAATGTGCCGGAGACAAGCCATTTAGAGGAAGCACATAGTGGAGTAATTTGTTCCCCTCATGGGCAGATACAACAAGGTAGAAAAGCCAGCGAGTTCTGTGGAATCTGTATGCACCCAAGTTCTAAGGATGTAGGCAGGTATGCCTTCATGGTGGGCTGTTTTGTGGCTGCTAAGACCCAAACTTCCTGTTCTGCTTCACGCTTGGCCAGGAAGTTTTTTGTTTTTGTTTTTTGAGTTTGTTTCTTTTTTTTTATTACTTTATAAATAATACCAATCAAAATTCCCACTTTCTCCCCTCCTCCCACTTCCCTCCTGCTCTCCCACATACCCTCCACCCTCCCCCTCCAGTCCCGAGAGAGGGCAAGGTACCCTGCCCTGTAGCTGGGAAGTCCAAGCCCCCCCTCCCCCCAAATCCAGGATTAGAAAGGTTTGCATCCATATAGAATAGGATCCCAAAAAGCCAGTACATGCAGTAGAGACAAATCCTAGTGCCATTATCATTGGCTTCTCAGTCTGTCCCAATTGTCAGCCACATTCAGAGGGTCCAGCTTGATCCCATGCTTGTTCAGTCCCAGTCCAGCTGGCTTTGGTGAGCTCCCATTAGATCAGGCACACTGTCTCAGTGGGTGGACCAACCCCTCATGGTCCTGACTTCTCCCTTCCTTCTGCTCTTCAACTGGACCTTGGGAGCTCAGTTCAGTGCTCCGATGTGGGTCTCTGTCTCTATCTCCATCTATCGCTGGATGAAAGTTCTATGGTGATATTCAAGATAGTCATCAGTCTGACTACAGGACAAGGCCAGTTCAGGCACCCTCTCCTCCACTGCATGGTGGAAGGAGAGAACTGACTCCTGCAAGCTGTCCCCTGACTTTTGCACCTGTGCATGGCATGTATACCACACCCCAAATAAATACATGTAATATTAGTAAAAATAAAGTTATCATTTTTATAGAACTAGAAATCACAAAATATTGACAATAACTTAATTGGACAGCCATATCTGAGTTCTGTTGCTGGATCAGTTATACTTGAATAGATAGTAGATATACATGTACCTTATAAGTTATTAGTTATTCCAAGAAATACTTTTTCTTGCCGTCATGTCAGCAGAAAATCACTATATAGTTTTAATTGAAATTGCAAAGGATTTGATCTCTGGTGATAGCAGTAATCTAAAGTAGCCATAACTTAAGTAGAATGCAGTTGTGTTTAAATGAGGTCAAAGTTCGAGTGTATTTGCAGTATGAATCAGAAGAAAAAAAGGAGGATGGTTGATGTCTGGCATTACTGGACATGGTATTTAATTATGTAAGAACATATAAGATTTGTGCCATGTGAGAAGCATTTGACAAGCTGACTAATTTGTCTTTTCTTTGCCACAGTGCTTCCTGTCATCAATTCCTCCCTGCTCCCTGAATCCGGACAAGCTCCAGATGTCTGTCATGGTGCAGCCTGTAAACCATCATAGAGTTCCAACAGCTGCCTCGTCCTTCTATGCATCTTAAAAGATCCACGCGGAGTCTTCTCCTGGGCCTGACGAACATGAAGACAGGAAATGTGAAGGGTGATCGTGTGCTCTACAGTGCTGTGTTCTGGACTGGGGTCTGGGGCTCCTGGATATTTCATGTGTGTTTATGAGAAGGAAGTTGATCCATGGAGGGCTCAGAAGTACACGGCTTGGGACAGAGCATCATAAGGAAACTTTGTGGGAAAGTGGGAGTGTTTCATATGTGTGTCATAACATGATTGTGCCAGTTACATGTTTGTTCAGATTTAATAATTGTACACTTAATATTTGTGCATTCTGCATTTGGCAAAGTTTTGTTAGTATAAAAATAAAGGCTACAAAGAACACTTTTTATTATGTAAACCAAGGGAGTTTCATGTTTCTATTGGTATGTGTTTTGTGTGTATGTATGATGTTTAAAGATGCACTCACTCATGTGGGCATGTGTACAGGGTAGAGGTTGATACCAAGATATCTTTCTTAATCACTTCAACATCTTAGTTTTTTAATCAAAAATTTCATTTCTGTGTGTATGCATTTGTGTGTGTGTATGTGTGTGTGTGTGCAGTGTGTGTGACTGTGCCTTCAGAAGTTCGTTCTCTCCTTCCACCCGGTGGGATCCAGGTACTAAGCTTAGATTGTCAAGTTATGAACAGTGCCTTTACCTACTGAGCCATCTCTCTGAGCCTTCTCACCGTATTTATTAATGCATGTCTCTCACTGAACCCAAAATTCACTGTTTCACCTAGACTGGCTGCCCAGGGAACCCAAGATATCTGCCGATCTTCACTGGGGTTATAGGCACATGGTCACCATACTGAGCTTTTACATGGATGTTGCAGATCTGAGTGTGGCAAACACTGCCCACTGAGCTGAGCAATCTCCCCAGTGGACCAGGCTTTTTCTTTTGGGTTACCAACCAGCTCTCAAATCATGACACAGAGACTTACTTTTTTTTCTGTCATTATTTCTTTTTTTATTGCTTTATAAATAATACCATTCAAAATTTCCATCTCCTCCCATTTCCTTCCCACTCCCCTTACTCCCCCTCTCCCCCGCCTCCAGTCCTAAGAGAAGGCAGGGTACCCTGCCCTGTGGGAAGTTCAAGGCCCTCCCCTCTCCATCCATAGCAATCCAGGTGTGACATCACCTTCAGTGGTTTGGGTCCTTCTACATAATTATTAATTAAGAAAATGTCGTTCAGACTTACATGCATATCTTGTAAAGGGATTTTTCTCAATTGAAAGTCTCTCCTCCTAAATGACTCAGCTTGTGTCAAGTTGCCATAAAATCAGTCAGGACTTGAAGTTTTCCTATAATATAGGAAGTTTTTAGTGGCCATGTGAAGTCACATGTCACAATGGCTAAGGTACTGGACTTTGGAGTTCAGAAAAAAGCTAGGTTCCAGTCTTGGGGCTTTGAAAGAAAATGACCCCCAAAGGGAGAGGCACTATAAGGAGTTGCAGCCTTCCTGGAGTAGGTGTGGTCTTGCTAGAGGAAGTGTGCCACGATGAAGGTGAGCTTTGTGGTCTCATTTATGCTCAAGCCACACCCAGTGAGACAGTCTATTTCCTGTTGTATACATATCAACACATGGCAGCTCCTTCTCTAGCACCAAGTCAGTCCGCACTCTGCTTTGCTCCTACAATGATGATAAAGGACTAAACTTCTGAACCTGTAAGCTGCCACCTCAATAAAGTGTTTTCATTTATAAGAGTTGATGTGCTCATGGTGTCTCTTCACAGTAATGGAAACACTAAGACAATCTGGGACAAACTAATTCAAGGTAATTTGATATCATCCTTAGAGTTGTTTTAAGGATCAAGATAACGTACAGAAAGTGTTTGCTATTGAATCGACTACAGAAGTACCCTATCAAAACTAGGAGCATTGTTAATTATGTCCCTTACTTCTGGAGGGTATGCAAAAATACTAGTTTCTGACACGCTCTCAGTGTTGTGCATTAGAATTTAAATTATTTTACCGATGAAATGGAATACAAATTGAATGGTTCTTGTCTGAAACTCTTAGAATTAGAAGTGCTTCAGGCTTCGCATTTTTTAGATCTTGAAATATCTATATATCCATAATGAGATACGTTGGGTGTAGGACAGGAAATCTACTGTATGTTTTGAATAATTTGGTGTGTGAAACAAAGTTTCGCCGTGTAGCTTTCCACTTGTGGTACCATGTCTGTGCTCAAAATAATTTGGAGTTAGAAGTTTTGAACTAGAGATGTTTAGCTTGTGTTTGTGTGTTTGTGTATGTGTGTGTTAATTTAGTTTTGGGAGTCAAATAATGGAAGAGTTATATCTTCAATTTTCAACCTGTGTTCTATTCTTTTTTTAAATTATTTAATCATTTTGACTAGTAGAAAGCTGGACTTTTAATCTTTTAGCATTTTTAATTTTAAAAATCTTTAAAATTTCTTCAAAATTCTCTACTTGCTTTCCATGTGCCTTTTACTCACTGTTAATTTATGAACAGGTATATGTTATCTGTCAGGGGACAGGTTAAACATAGCTGCCACATGGGACACAGCAAAGGAAGGAAGTAAATTTTCATTATTTTTGACATGGACAATAAATGGAGAAATGAAAGCCAGTATGCCTCTGAGGTGGCTTCATAATTAGCTACCCACTCACTGTCCATAAATGTGCACTTTCTTCTTTCTTAGGAAGTTCAGTTTAAGTCTAATTGGGCCAGAGAAGGCAGGGTTAGCTAGTTGGATGAGGTTCATTTGAATATCGGGTACGTTATTGTTATTATATAGCTAATCAAATCAGTACGTAAAGCATAGTATTTGTGTCTGGTCATAGCTGGTATTGAATTAATGTATTTGAGAGGTGTGTGAAACAGTGACTGAGCATAGAGACCCCAGTTCATTATTGGCAATACACTGTTGTGGTGTATTTCAATTGTATTTTCATAAAGAAAGGCCGCCTGAAGATCTGAGACTAAAACAGTCCTGCTGGCCAGCCTTACAGACCAGGTTACGGTAACACGCACCTTTAATCCCAGTAACCACAATGACACAAACCTTTATCCACAGTAGCCACACTAGTTGCCATAGAAATCGGGTGGTGCATGCCTTTAATCCTAGCCCTAGAGAGAAATATAACAGGACGGAGACAGTTCTCAGACATAGTCTCATGGTCTCCTTCTGAGATTCTGGCAGGCAGGATTGCCATTTCAGACTGAGGTTGAGGTAAGAGCCAGTGGCTGGCTCTTTTGCTCAAACCCCAGTTTCTGACCCTGAGCTTTTATTAATTGTGCTTCATTTGGTACCCAAGTAACCTACGTTGGCCACCTGGCAAATCCTTACACTGCTATGGAAAAGGTATTACTATTGCTGGGTCAGCTTCTTCTGGGCCACCACTCCTCTTAGCTAGCTCCCCACAACTTATGTCTTTTAAATAACAGTGTTATAGATATTTCAGAACAGCAAGAGAGTGAGACCCAGAATCTCCCTGTCCTGGTCTTTATTTTTCATTGTTTGCAACAACTCTCTGTTCAGATTCATTGTGTTTATGGCTTCTGTTTAAGGCAGTTTCAGTCATTAGTGATCATCCTGCCTGGGGTCTATGTAGCCATACTGTCTAGACTGGGAAGGGGGTAACACCTATGCAAACGAGAACTGAGAAGAAGCTGTGCCTGCAGAGACCTACTGATTAGAACAGCAGTACTGTGGAGAGATCAGAATGTGGCCACGTACATAATCTAGGTTTAGTTCTACCATCTTCCAACAGCCACCCGTTACCTACCCCAGCATCAGAACTAACATCTCATGACAAAACAGATAAAAACCTTTTGAAATCTATTAATTTAACAGACCACTAGCTCCCACCAATCCAAACACTAAGAATGTCATAAGATAGCATCTTAAACCTATTAAAAAGCCTCCCCCATCCTTCTGTAATTGCCTCTCTGATGTACGCAGCAATGTATTTCAAGTGTGTCTTGATTTATGACTCTCTTGTGTTAAAATATCAACTTCATGAAACGGCTTTCACAGTTGGAATATGGAATTTGGGATAATCTAAATCTATGTTCCAAGGCTATGGTCACTCAAAATGGCTCCAGAATAAGCTATCCCTTAATACCTTTATGGTGACAGCTATAGTTTTTGCCTTGACACCTAATTGCTGCTTACTTCCCTCACCTGGACATGGGACATGCTGTACACTTCCATCACGTGGAGGCTGGAGACTTCATGCGGTCTTTTCTCTTGTCTTCACTTCTGAAATTGTAGGTCTTGGGTACAAGACAGATACTTACTAGGGATGGAAAAGAGAAACTTGTTTCCCCTCTAGTTTATTTGTAATTTTCCCAATCCAGAATTGGGGATGAAATGGGATTATTTCTTCTCTTTGTCTCATGTAGATCAGAAAGATGGGTTTCTTTCTGATCCACAAATGACAAATGTAGGAGAAAACAAGAGGGAAGCTGAGACCGCAGCAGGCCAGAGCAAATGTGCAGCAGGCATCAGTGTCTTGGTGGGCCTTTAGTGGTTATGGTCTGATTATCCTGGAAGAAAGAAAGCAATTCACCAGTGAGACCACTTAGGTTCAAAGTACCCTGGACCTGGTTGCCTAATTGTACAGTAGCAGAAGGGACCTTTGTATGTAGGGCTGTTGGGATATTAAGCCAGTCTTTCCCATGGCATAGAAAGATATTCCTTTAGAACCAGAGAATTCTTGCACTCACCTTCCCCTATCTGTCCAGAGGTGGGTATCAGGTATCATTAGTGAAGTGTGCTCTAACAAGTAGAGCATGCCCCTATTCTATCAGGCTTACAAGTATCAGTCATCACTAAAAGGTGGGTGAATCAGTAGGCATTGCCTTGGGGTCATGCTGAATTTAAGACACCTTTGACCTTTTTAGCTGTACAATGTAAATCGTTTGACCCCCTCACTAGAAAGACTTTAAGGAATAACCAGCGTTACTCGCTGGCTAGAGACTAACCACTCTCAGCATAACTTGAGCCAAAGGCAGACCAGCACATTTCTATACTTTGAAACACAAACCATGGATCTGAGTTTATTAGGTAGCCATGCAAGGCTCTAGGAAAGGACTCAGTAAGCCTCAGACTCACATGATGAAGGTCAGCCTCATGGGGTTGGGAAGGGTCTCTGAACCTCAAGACCAAAACCAAGGACTTGCATCACTTATAGTCAAGGCCTGATTCAGTCAGAGGATTAGGGACAATCCGGGCACTATGCTTGTTTTGTTGTGCCACCACAGGTGAGTTTATAATCTCCCTGGATTTCCCTTTACTTAGAAAATGAGCAGGGCTATGTTTTCCAATATCTAACCAAGTTCTTAGCAGAACACCCGTGGCAGTCTTCCCTGCCCCT